TTATAAATTGCAAGAAAGATAACAACAATCACAGAAAATAGCAATCACAAACACAAGCTTTTATACTGGTTCCACCATCCCTGATGTACATCCAGTCCCCAAGCAAATCATGCTTAAGATTTTCACTATAATTTTAAAAAACTATTACAAAATTAAAAGCAAACCTGACCAATTTGCAAGACCATGCAAATTGCAACAATCTCTAAACTAAGAGATCTTCTCTCACATACGAGAGAAATCTTCCTTTGATGAAAGAACACAATTCCTATAAGCCTTGAAGTGTAGGTATTGTGTATCACTGGCTTAGGAACTCTTTTAATCTCTGAATAATGCCTATTTAATTTGTATGAATGATGAAGATCAAAGGCTATCTCATAAATCTCTTTTCTCAACACTTAGACTGAAAATCTGAATTTTGAGCACTTGAATTTGCACAAAAGTTTAACCTCATGGATATGCATGTAGTTGGGCAAATTCAGAACTTAGTACCCATTTATAGCCCTTTAAAAGTTTGAATTTTAAACCCAATAATTGGATTAAAATGGCTATAAACAGTCATATATTTAAATTATGAAAATCTAGAAAATTTGTATCTGTAGTCGACTATAAGGCTTAGTAGTTGACTACACTGAGTCTAAATAGACTCTGTGAAGTCAAATAACTGCTTAGTAGTCGACTACTAAGGGGAGTAGTCGACTACACTGTTCATGTGTAGTTTCTGGAATTCTAAACTGACATTTAGTAGTCGACTATAATGTCTAGTGGTCGACTACACTGTAAACTCACAGTTTCTGTAAAAATTGAATTAGGCTTTAGTAGTCGATTACAAAGTGTATTAGTCGGCTACACTATAATTTCACAGATTCTAGAATTCTGTTTGATTCTTTAATAGTCGACTACAATGTATATTAGTCGACTACACTGTGAAATGACAGAAATTGATATATTGACTAAGGCTTAAGTAGTCGACTACTATTCTTATTGGTCGACTACAAAGGATAAAAATGCGATATATGAAGTATTTTGAGACTCATTCTTTATCTATAAACTCTAATGGTTAACTTAGGGGATTTCTATAGTTAACCATACACTAAACATGTGTTAGTGTGTTAAACACTAAGTGTGTGTAAGTGTTATGAGTGATCAAGGCTTGTACAAAATTTCTAAACAAAGAAAATAAAAACACAACCTTACGTTTAAGAAAATAAAAACACAACCTTACGTTTAAGCTCATCTTCTCATTTGCTTCTTGTTGCCTTGAACTCATCCTGCACTTGGTTCATATATCCTGAGCATATTTGATATTGTTATCTGCATTGATATGTTAGTGCACATATATATAACACATATAGTGAATAAATTATTATCATCAAAACTATATCTTGGGGACAAGATATCCAACAATTAATGGATGGATTTTCAGGGTATAATCAAATCATGATGTACCCTAAGGACAAGAAGCACACCTCCTTCCGAACACCGACAGGGATTTACTGTTATACAGTGATGCCTTTTGGGTTGAAGAATACTGGGGCCACATATCAGCGCTCCATGACCACCATTTTTCGAGAACATTTGCGAAAGACAGTTGAATGTTATGTCAATGACTTGGTCGTCAAAAGCCATAAGAAAAAGAATCATCTTCATGATTTGAAGACGATGTTTGATCTCATGCGATCACATCAATTAAAGATGAATCCAACCAAGTCCTTCTTGGGGATGACTAGTGGTAAATTTTTGGGATTTGTGGTCACAGCTAATGGGATTCATCTTGATCCAGACAAGGTCAAAGCCATTCAAGAGCTTCCACCACCTCAAAATCTTAAGGAGCTTCGCGGTTTACATGGCCGTTTAGCCTACATTCGAAGGTTTATCTCTAACCTGTCAAGGAAATGTCAACCATTTTCGAAACTCATGAAGAAAGACATATCCTTCATTTGGGATGAGCCCTGCCAGAAGGTATTTGAAGAGATTAAAGCATATCTCTCTAACCCGTCTGTATTGGTTGCACCAAAATCAGGTAAGCCTTTTCTAATATACATCTGAGCTACAGAGCATGACTTAGCTGGTCTCCTGACGCAAGACGATGATAATGGCCATGAGCAAACCATTTACTATTTTAGCAGAACTTTGTCAGGAGTTGAACACCGTTATCCTCCTGTTGAGAAGGAATGTTTGGTCTTAATCTTCGCAATTCAAAAGATGCGATATTATCTGGTCGGACAAAACATATATATCATATCTAAGGTCAATCCAATACGAGTGTTCATGACACAACCTGATGCATTGAATTGAAAGCTTGCAAGATGGGCACTATTGTTGTCCCAGTACGACATCTATTTCAAACCACAGAAGGTAGTGAAAGGTCAAGCTGTTTGTGATCTCCTCGCTAGTCACCCATCGGAGGAGAAAGTTTATTTATATCAAGACATGCCAGATGAGATATATGAAGTAAATGCGGTCTCAAAAGAATAAGTATGGCAATTATTTTTCGACGGCGCAGCAAGAGCGAGTCCTGATGGTCCCGTTGTTGCCGGAGTGGGGGTAGTCTTGATTTCTCCGCATAATCATGTATTACCTTGAGCATTCTCTTTAACAGAGTCATGTTCCAAAAACGTGGTTGAATACAATGCTTTACTGATCGGTCTTGATCTGGCAAGACAGATGGAGATAAGGCACCTAGAAGCGTATGGCGATTCGCAGCTCATCATCAATCAGCTGAAAGGTGAATTCAAGGTAAGACATGAAGATCTCATCCCTTATCATGTAGCTGCCATCACACTGGCTAATTCTTTTGAATGCTTCTACATTGATTATGTACCTCGCCTCAATAACACATATGCCGACGCTTTGGCATCACTCACGGCTACACTAGCTCTGCCCGAAGGAACTACTCAGAAGTTTATAGTAACCAGTAAACAACTGTTCCGTCCGAAATATGCATTGAAGATTAATCGAAAATAGTGGTCTACCATGTGATGTGCCACTATTCTAATCATCGTCGTTATACTTTTACATCACTGAACGACTTGATTATGTTTACTTCATCATTTTGTTTAAAATGGCGTTGTTTGTTGATAGTGGGTCTACCATGTGATTTATCGATCACTATCCTAATTATAGTCGTTATACTTTAATATCACTGAACAACTTAACTGTTTCTACACCTTCATACATGTGATTGACGTTGTTTCCAAGTGGTGACTTACCAAGCGACAAGTCACTATTTTAATTTAGGATTGTTATCTTATTAATGATTTCATCACAATCTATTGACTGTTTTCTAAAATTGTGGTCCTACCATGTGATGAGTTTCGCTTTTGAGTTCCTAACGACACAACTTAACTGTCGTAGGCACACTCAATTCCTGATCTGATGCCCTAAACAGCTAAGGATAGAGGAGAAATCTTAGCGTTAAGCCTAAGAGAAACTCTTCGATAACTCACCATACTGAGGGGAATAGTATGGCTAGTTCAACTCAAACGATAGTTTGTAAAGACGAATCAAGTCCGTTGATAGCTGGGGGTTTGCTAAAAATCCTAAGTGATCACAAAAGAAGTGAATAATTAATGGATAAAATTGCAATTTTATTCATATAATGATTAAAGTTACAGCAACAAAAAAGTTGAAGTACATGGATTGAGCAAAAAAAAAATCAAAGCGAACAACAAGATGAGGTTCGTTCACAAGTTTGTCCAATGACCTTCGACGCTCCACTTTAGTCTTTTCCAATGCCTGTTTGTGCAGCTTATCATCGTAAAATGTCGCTAAAGTTCCTACGAGGGTATTAAGTATGCTTTCCACTAGGGCTGCAACATTTATTATTAAAATTCCATCTACCATTTCTTGGCAAAAAATCTTCACCACTGCCAGCTGATAGGTACCCGTGGATGAGTTACAGAGTGAGAAGGTATCTCTAAGATAGCTGTTGATGCTCGTGAGAAGAAGGACAGGTGTTTCAGTGGGCATCCGAAGCCACACCTATATACAGGCAGAGGAGCCAACTCAGCAACATTGATCTGCTGCACAGATCTCTAAGCACATAGCTGGTCAAAGGGTGTTGGGCCCGAAGAGACGCATTAAGTACGTTCATACTTAACACTGATGGAGCATGGCTCGAAGAGGCGCATTAAGTACTAAGAACTTAATGCTGGCAAGGTGAAAAGATGGATCCATGTAGATCAACAGAGCAAGAACATTGATGTTTGCATACTTAATGAAGTTCGAGGCATGCTTGACTAATGAAGCTCATGAAATGCTGAACCATGTCCCAAAATTTTTGGCTGACGAAGTTCATGAAATGCGGAACCTCGTCCTAAAATTTTTAGCTGACGAACACTACAAGAAATTACGTCTTTAACGAAGGGATTTCCCTTCGTTAAAGAGCTGAAAACCGTCGTTATTGTATGCTAACGACAGGAAAAAATCCCTTCGTCACCCGTTGTTGAAGCCCTCTTCGCTAAAGGGTCACGAAGGGATATACCACCCGTCGTTATAGAGTGTATAATGACGGAACATATTACCGTCGTTAATATCTACGACGGTAATTATCACCGTCGTTACCATTAGTGACGGGGTTATTTTCCCGTCGTTACCATCAGCGACGGGAATATTTTTCCGTCGTTATAATTAGTTACGGGGATATTTTCCCGTCGTTACTTTAAATGACGGGTTTTCATTCCCGTTGTTATTGTGTAATGATGGTTTTGTATGCCCGTTATTATTGTGTAACAACGGGTGAAAACCCCGTCATTAAAGGCTAATTAATGATGGTTGGATACCGTCGTAAAAGTCCTCATGGTGGGTAATTAGTAACCTATCAACGATGGGGCTTTCCCTTCGTTGATAAACAAAATGTTGTTTATAAAACCGTCATTATAGACTATAAATTTCTAACTTATATTAATGATAATTTTTTCATTCATAAACAACTATCATATTATTCTCAATATGAAACTAAGATTCACAACACAAATATATTAAAAACACTCAATAATGAATAAAAGAGAAATAAAAAACTCCATTCATTAATAACATCAATAAATAAAATTCCATCATCCTCAAATATTCAACACTAATAACAAGTGTTAATATCCCAATTATTCTAAAGGAAAATACGTGAAGCTATCTAAAACAAATTAAAATAGAAGTCTGGGAAAGACACATCGTTTCATTTCTAATCATCGTCAAAAGAAGACTCGAGCTACCCCTCTCCTAATCCTGCATGGATAACCTGAAAAATTAAAAAAAAATCACATAATTAAGAAATATCAATTAAGCAATTATTATCTTATTAAGTAAAAATCTCATTTTCTCAAGTGCAAGTAGTCAATCATAAAAATATATAAGAGATTTTATAATAAATAATTACTTAGTCTTGCACATGTTCTCGAGTTTGTGGAGTCAATGAAGATGACTGCCTAAAAAAAATTCCTGCATAGCTTTCACTTGTGACTCTAAGTCAGACATCATTTGTTATTGTTGATGTTGTTGTTGCTCCTGCTCATATTTCATATCCTTCAAACAAAAAAAATGTTCAGCCGAGAAAATAATTATGCCTCTTTTGTATGATGTCCTCTACAGATACAACAAATGACAGTCTCCTGCTTAATCTTCTATATTTAAAATCGACATCTTTAATGGTGAAACACAAAAGAAAACGGAAAGTATGACCCTTATTATGCAAGATAGATAGGAATAACATGTCATATGAGTCAAAACCATGGTAATAGAGAAAGGGTAAGCTATCTAAGATATCGTTGAAGAATGGAGATCTATAGAACCAATTTCATGTGGTTAAATAGTAAGTGTGAAATGAACTTGACATTAACTATGCTCAAAGTTTCCCATAACTTCTCGAGCATTAATTAGGTTCTCATAATATTACATGCATTCATTTTTGCAGGCAAACATAATTCACTAAAGTACTTAGTAATACTTCTCTCTCCTATTGTTGTTGTCATTACTTATTAGTCATGATCATTATTCTCTGAACAAAAGCCTAATTCCCCTGGGAATAAAGTCACGAATACTCCATAGAGGACTCATTAAATTTGAACTAGGCTCTAGCCTTGTACAGAGCTTGATGCCAAAGTAATTACAAAGGGATTTTTTTTAATTCACTAGACAACCTTTTAACAGATCTAATTCATTGGACAGGTTAACATCTATTGCTGAGGAAACGGTTATGATAAATGAAGAAGAGAGCTCAAAAGAATATCACATTATGTTGATTTCACTTTTGGGCTGCTTAGAAAAAATACACATTGTTGGGAGTGCTCTAACAACTAAGAATAGCATGTAAACTTTTTTTAACAAGTTCTGCCATGTTCCAAAACAAATAAAAAGGCTTCTCAGCTTGCAACCAGATGATGCATGAGTAGGACATGCTTAAAAGTTTTGACATCTGTGTCAAGATAGTGTAGTAGATAACAACGGATAATATAGACTATCACTTTTGTTCTTCTGCCATGAATTAAATCAAACTACTTGCATCTGCTTCTGAATGTAGATTACCTCAAGCTCAAAATCTATCAAAAAGAAGGATCCCAAAATATGTGGTGCAAAGTATTATATTTTTCCAAAACATCACCTTTTATGCCTTACAACATTCATGAAAATTCTAGTTGTTTATTATCACTATTTCCTGAAACCTCCATCACGTGATGTTCTTTCCTTATCTGAATTTTTGAATAATCGAGCAAAATAACTTTAGAAGGATCATCCTCATGGAAGCATGTCTAAGAACCTTGCTATAATGCATCAACAAACAAGTTAAAGAACAAGAGAACATACCCAACTCCTTTTGATCGATCGTCTCGAGTTCCGATCCATGATCAGCCGCACGTCTCTAACCTGGAAGCCATAAATTAATTGCTTGTAAATCTAACATCATTAATGAAGTAATACTTATACAGTTTGCAGCTTAAAAATGCATTGCCATGCTTACTACACATAACACCACCCTAAGGACTGCACCCAATATGGTGAGCAATCAAACTTCCAATTCTTTTCACACTCACCAAATAAAAGAATGTTGAGCCACAAAAAAGTCATTATAATAGGCCTCATTGAAGGCACAGAAGCATTTACTGCAATAAGAAGCAAGTGTATCTCAATGTATGTACTGAAGATATTGAAATAGAGAATTGCCTACCAAAAGCTTTAATCCTAATAAGATAACAAGTTACGAAATATTTTAAATAATAAACTGGGCAGGGGAGATAAGTATACTTGTACTACTATGTAAGCTCAGATACCTGTGGTTGCATGATACATGTAAATATCAGAACACTCTTCTCAGATGGATGTGTAATGTCAATACAAGAAGCTAAACCTAACAAATTAAAAACAATCATCAACCTCATATTATTGTGTGATAAGAGGACCAAGTAACTCATTCCACTAACCTTCCCTGCTTTCGAGAAGAATTCATAAACATCCCTCTCTGTCGCTTTCAAAGGCATCTAAAATCACAAAAGAGAAAAGAATTTAGAAGTTGGCTGTGTATGGATGAAATGAGAGGCCACACTTCCACCTCTTGTCCATTGAACACATCGACCACAGGATCAACAATTTGGACTCCAGCCTGCAAAAAAACGGTTAGACCATGTCTTTGCTTCTACAAGAAAAAAGAATTAAGTAAATTCAGAAGTTAACCAAGGTTGGATAAAGGTATACCAATGACAGTCACCTTTGACTGACATATAGCCTATCTCTCGCGAACAAATCAACTATAAGCCACTTTTTGTAGCATAAAATAAACCAATTGGACAAATTGTCGCCAAATAGTAGTCTGGAATCTAAAAGCATTTAATCTAGATAATGGATATCTCACAATAAGATTTTAGATTGTCTACTAAAAATCATCTGCGGAAACATGGTTTACATCACAGCGTATTATGCTTCTGCATGACACGGCCTTAGTAGAAAAATCATCTGCGGAAACATGGTTTACATCACAGCGTATTATGCTTCTGCATGACACGGCCTTAGTAGCAGGATAAGTCTTGGGGCTTATACACCCATGTAACTGATACAACAGAAAATATCCAAATTCATAAATCTTTGCACGTACCATATTATAAGATATGCTGCTGATATAATTGGAACTGCCTAAAATTTCAAACTCCAAGGTAGGAAATCAACGTAGGATGAATTGCTTCAACAATTTGATAGTAGAAAATGCAGTAACTTTATTTTTTTGTTGCATTTTCAAAAAATGAATAGAGAATTTGGCACAAGCCTAGATTCATGTGCACATATATATTGACATACCAAATATGTAATAAGTGCGAGTTAATACTAGATGAATAGGATATTTGATTAGGAAATAACAGTGCAGAAATAGATGAAGACTACTCTAAAACAGGCCAATATCGCATGCGCACAAAATTTTTGGTGAATATGAGAGATAAACGTATCCTCTGATCTTAGGAAATTCGATACAACGTGCACATTTACAACTTCAGAACTCAGAAGAATTGATTTCAAAAGCTACAGTGTACTACATTATTTTGTTGCTGAACATCAACGTTCTCCACACCCATATTTGGATGTGAATTCTATAATTGACATTCACAAGAGGTGCTTTGAATAGGTCGAATTTCATAATTGCCACTTTGAACAGTGGGTTTTACAACTATAATTGGTGGAAGAGAAGCCACTAGCAAGCGTTAAATTGGACAGATAATGAATACAATGATATATCATTGGATGACGGGTGTTACTATAGCTGAGTATTAAAAAAGCAAAATAAATAAATAAATCATGCAGTGGACCCTAAAATGGTAGGGTATATACCTCAAAGCTTTCTTCAAATACTGCAGCTCCTTGTCAAGATCTTCAATCCCGTCTATATGCTTGCGATGGAGAAGACTGGCCTGTAGTGTGGATCTGCGGAGAGTACAAGGGATGTCAAGCCGACATATTTTTCTAAAGGAAAAATAAAAGGACATCAGCTAATTTACAAAATTACACAATGGCGACAGTGGCAGTCTTGGTCTGCTTGTTGAGACCCATACGTGGCTATGCGCAAGACCAACCTCCCAATGCGACCAAAACCTGCACAAATCAACTCTTGTAACATGCTTAGCTTACAAATACGACATTCAAGTGACCTACAATTTCAGTCTTAAGGTATAGACAAGATTGATTGCGTCCAAAGTCTCAAATGGATAACAGTAAAGAGTGATCATACCATTTCAGTCTTTATTTTCCCACCACTCGATGATCCTAAACAACAAATTATTGATTATGGCATAATATCTCTTAATGAAAATTAAAGAATTACTTAGGAGAAACTCAATGAACTGTATATGCCAAGGAACAAATCTTAAGATTGCAGAAGTTGTAAGCATAAATTAAACCAAACAGATTAATCATAGTATGATTCTGACGTACCAGTGCAAAGTGCTCGGAAGTTCTCTACAAAGTCACATATATAAAGTGTATAAACAAATCTAACTTCATGCAAACACATCAACTAAGACACCTTAAACTAGCTTGCAACTAAAAATAAGAGATGTAACAAAAATAGAGTGGGCTATAAGATCTCAGACTAGGTCTGTCTTTAAGTAAAATATCTCATATCCACAAAGTCACATATATGTTGAATGCCAAAAAAATTGATGATATTTGAAGTCCAAGCTCCCACAAACCCTGATCTCTCCTTGCTGCATCTTACCTGTAAAATTCACCAACCAACCTTAGTAGAACAGTAGCAAAAACATGGTAGTAAACAATGCAGATAAATGCTAGCGTTATAAAATCGCCAACCAGCGCGTCACCACCAGAAAGAGCAACGATGTCCTGATCACTAAGACCCACGTGCCCAATAACATCTCGAAGGTGATCATAAACATGAATTATTTAAGAAAAAAAGGTTATTTCTTTTGTTAAGACTAAATAATGAGAAACTTCAGGAGGCTGTATTTTGAAATTTATACCCTTTTAGTAATATCAGGAAGGCGGCCTTCAAAACTCAAGCATTCAGGAGAGCATGAAGTAATAATGAGATAAAAATAGAGGTTTCTGCAAGCAAAAAAAATTACAATAATATTGAATTTGGATAATCTCCACAAATTAGTGCTCGGTTAGTTTATAAAACTGATTTGACTCTCCAGATGCTTAACTAGGCAACATTAATCAAAGGATATTTTTCAGATCTTATACATATGTAAACATATCAGTAAAAATACTGATAATGAATTGCATTAAATGACTTTAGCAAACGAAACCCCAAAGTAAATACACCCAATAAAAAAAATAAATCCGTAAAAGCTCTCACCTTGGGGGTTGCCGTCTGGACAATGGAAGCCCTCCGCTTAAATGATGGATTTTTCCTCCGATCCTGGAATCAGTAGGAATAAGAAATCCCCAGTCTCAACAACAGCAACAAGTGAAAGAAAGGAAAACAACCAGAAGGAGAGTTGAGATTTGAGGAAGCTGACCTCAAAGAAGACAGATTAATTTTAAAAATCAAGACTTGAATCTCTTCATTCCATCTTTACCATCTGACCTGAAAGAAGAATTTCCATCAGAGAGAGCCACCATGGATTTAGAGAATGAGCTTGAGAGGAGGTAGAGGACTTACAAGTCAGACATCCGGCGAAAATCAGGAGCAGGAGGGCGGCGAGGCGCTTTGGGGAGGAAGAACTAGGGTTTTTGAGGGGACCGGCGGCAAACTAAAATCTACATCAGAGAGATTCTCCATGGAATTAGAGAATGAGCTTGAGAGGTAGAGGACTTACAAGTCAGGCGTCCGGCGAAAATCAGGAACAGGAGTGGCGGCGAGGTCCGATTTGGGGAGGAAGAACTAGGGTTTTTGAGGGGGGGCTCGGCGCAAACTGCTGGGGTCGACGTGTCGGCGAACTCCGGACGGCAGGCGGCGAGTTCAGAGTTGGTTTGAGCGGGAGGGGAGGAGAGAAGGCGCACGGGGGTTTGGGGTATTTTGACGAGAGAGAGAGAGAGAGAGAGAGAATGGGGGTTAATTTGGGGGGTTTTCGTTGGTTTTTTTAGTTTTTGGCGAAAATAAATGGGGGGGATTTTCCCTCTCTTGGGCGTGTAGGATGATTAGGCGTTAAGGGGTTTGTAAAATTGGGGCTTCGGGTTTTAATGTGGGATTTGTTAATAGCAATAGGTTAATTTTAATCTAATTATGATTAGGAATCCCATCAATGAAGGTAATGGACTCCTTCGTCTTTAAGGAGACCTAATAACGACGGTATTAGGAACAAATCAATGAAGGGACTAGAAAACCGTTATCCCATCTCACACAATTCCTCTAATATTTGTAATCACTCGACGAAGGCTTTAAAACCCGTCATTAATATATGCACATTAATGACGGTCAACTGGTCCCTTCACTAATTTTGGTCGTTAAATATCAGATTTCTTGTAGTGGAAGTTCATGAAATACAGAACCTCCTCCTAAAAAGCTTGGATGACGAAGTTCATGAAATGCCGATCCTCGTCCCAAAATTTTTAGCTGACGAAGTTCATGAAATGCCGAACCTCATCCCAAAAATTCTGACTGACGAAGTTCGTAAAATATTGAATCTCGTCTTAAGGAATTGGGACTTGTTTAAGGTGAAGTCTTAAAATTCTTGAATGACGAAGTTCATCAATATATTGAACTTTGTCTTAAAGTAATAAGACTTATCCTATAAATCTCAAAATCTTAGTACGATGAAATACAGTAAAATAGATTAACTTCGTCCCCAAGGCTTGAAGCTCATTAGGACAATTATAAAAGGGCCTTAAACATCGAGATTTGTTGAGTTGAATTTCATGATATCATGAACCTCATCGAGAAGAGCTAAAATACACAAGAAGGAGAACTAGTGGATAAAATTAAAATTTTATTCATGAGAAACTACCACAAAAGACAACCTACAAAGGTTGAAATTAAAGAGACCCAGTCGTCTGACGAATTTCATCGGAAAGTTTGTTCAGATACTCCTGGTGCTCCACCTCAACTTCTGCCATTGTTTGCTTATGTAGCTCTTCATCAGAATATACCTTTACATCCCTTACGGCCTTCTCTAGCTTTTCCAAATCATTGAGCTCCACTTTAAGGGATGATTGATGTTCGTCTACTGTGTTGCTAGTGTTTGCCGCACTTCCTCATGCCCTTCAACTCCTCCTCTGCCTCTTCAAGTTTGGTCTGAAGGTCAGCAAGCATGGTCTTATAAGATTTGGTCTGACGCTGCTTATTACGTTCAACATTAGCAATCTTTCTGTTCTCACTGGATAACTTCTCGCCTACCCCTTCAATCTCTTTTACCCTTTGCTTCTTTTCAAGCAATTGGCGATCAAGCTCAAACAAAGAGTCATCCCTCTGCTGCAGATACTACATGGCTCATTCTTTAGCTAAGTGATGGAGAGATTGAGTGCAACGACCTTGCCATCTTATGAAAAGGTCTTTGATGTTTGCCAGATGCAACCAATATGGTAGTACTGCCATACTGCTGGTCAGACTTTGCATCAATTTTAGAAGAGGTTTCAGCATTGCTTTGATCCTAGCGAAGTCCTCATCATGATCCAAGACTTGAGTAGGGGATTCTCTCAAAATAATGAGAAAGTTCTCCTAGACTTTGGACACCCCGAAGTCTTTCACTAAATTGAAAGAGGAAGAGAATGTTGTGCCGGAGGGCACCACTTCTGATTGACCCGTAGAAGAAGCCATTGTTTCGGTGAAGACCAACGACGACGTGAAAATAGTAGTAGCAACAGTTGCGGTAGCAGTAATAAGAGTGGTGGGAGCAGCAATGACCACATTCAACCCTGGATCTAAAATTTTCGTTGAAGCGATAGAGATAGTTGGCATAACACTGGCAGTTGCTTCAGCTTCAGTTCCGACCACAACATCATGATCAATCCTAGCTCCAATAACTGTTGCATCCATGGTTGTTTTAGTTTCAACAACAGTACTGGGATTAGCTTCAGCTTTAGAAGAGGTGTTGAGAATGGTTTTGATCTCAATACTCGCATTAACAGTAACTGCAGCTGTAGTTGAAACAACTAGAAGCGATGTTCAACATTATCAGCACAATGGACTAGAAAAAGAGGGAGGGGAACAAATGTGAAATTATCTTACCAGGGTTAACAGGAGCGTCCTCAACATTTATGCTGGGTCCGGAGCGCGATCTAACACAAAGTCGGGATGAACTATGAAGGAACATCGTCCTCAGAATCCGATTTCGTTCTAGCTTCAACCTGTTCTATTAGAGGATTGATGATTAGTGGAACCTCTCGCCTCTATTTCTTCACGAGACGTTTGGACCTATGCATTAGCCTTAGCTCCTTGAATTTCCCCCCCACGTGCCTTAAATCCTCGACTTCTTTGGGCTCTCCTGCAGAGAAACCTCAGAAGTTAAGTGTCAAAAAGGGGTGACCATTCAACGTCTTAAATATCTAAAACCAACATACCAGTTGACTCGAAAGCTGAATGAGATTCCTTCAGAGCACCTGATGTTGTTAGAAGCTGAGATTCAGCTTGAGTAGGCGGTGTTGCCGGAGAGCTTGAAATGTGCACAATTTTAGCAGGCTGCTGAGAGAAGCCTTCTGTAGTGAAACTAGTAGGTGTAGGTATACTCTCAGAAACATTAGGTTGAAAGTGCTCATGAAGCTAATCAGTATGAGCAAAACCCCTGAATTCGCCAAAGGCAGCTTCGGTTCTGAAAGTCTCGCCCTCCTTGACAGCAGTAGTCATATGACTCCCGTACTCGTCGATACGAGGAGACCCCTGAAGTGTACTTTCATCCAGTGCCACGTTTACCTCCTCCTGAGTTTCATGAGGACTAGAAAGTCGGGATTCCTCCTCCCTAATATTTTCCTCTGCATGATAGAATTCCTTGAACCCTGGCATACGACTTCTCTTGGAAGCATCTCCAGATCTATAACGACATCGAATAAGAAACAATCTAGAAGAGTTGATATTAAAGTTTGGAAATCACCGTATTCGCTATGCAATGACACTGGCAATAAGTGAGTGTTGTTCGAGGTCGAGGATTCTGTTGAGGGAGTGAGAAGAGAGCACCTGTACCTCCAGCAATCGTCCAAAACCAAGCTCTTGCTCCGTCGATTAGACTACAACCCTCAGATTGCAACTGAGTGTTGGGATTACTGATGTACAATTGGTCATAGCCAAATTGATGGGCAAAACGACAAGGTGTATACAGTTCCATATGGCATACAGGACCAAAGCGGTAGACTAAATATCCAGGACGAATACTCATGAGCCAATGGAACCAACCAAGTGATAAGGTGGTATGACCTTGACCGTTTGACTCATCCGCTACAATCTGGCCATAGCTGGTCCCATGAAAGTGAGGAAAGCACCGATAGAAATCATAGTTGTTGTGGTTCCTGAGTGCATGCCTCATCATCGCCATGTAATGCTGACTCCAATCATAATTTCCAACCACTGAATGAAGGGAGTAATTTGACCTTCTTCGTGAGCGGAAGGTGCACTCATAAGAATGGGACAATGCATCATGAACCACACCATGAGATAGGTGTAAGGGAGCACCACCCGGTGATTCTCAGCACCTTGGCAAAATTGAAAACATAATCGTCACAATCCCCCGTGAATGCGAGTGATCATGGCTAGAAGAAGAGCATAGGAGTAGCCGTAAGCTAAACGTACAACATGGAACACTACTTCCAATGGCAGGTCCTCAAAGCTGCCAGCAGGGATAACAATTTGCGTAAGCCACAACATAAGGTATCCTGCCAGCACGACCTTAGAAGAGATGGGTTCCCCACATTGATGGAAGTAACTTTCAAACTCTGTACCCACGGCATAACCATGCTCGTCTGAAGGCGTTACGTAGGATAAATGAGGATTGGTGAGTAAACGCCGTGACAACTCACCAGCCTCATAAGGACCCAGCGACACTACTGGGTCCTTCTTCTAATCCAAATTTTTGAAGAGATAATGTGCCCAGATATTATGGCTGATAGACTTCTCACCTTTCTTATTAGTGCGTCCTTCCACGTTCAGAAAGATGTGATAATGTCACATTACCTCCCAAAAAGTCTCAACAACTTGTGGGTGATTCTTTTCCAGATCCACCAACTCCTTGTACCCTGGGATGTATTCCTTATAAGGGTACTTTCCATATGGTAATCCTAAAATTTCTACCATCTCATGAAGTGGGATCCCCAATTCCCCATCCGAGATAAAGAAGGTGCGTGTATCAGGATTATACAACTCTAACACGCTAAAGAACTGATGGGAGTTAGTCCTTAGCCTAAGCTGTGTTGCTCGGATGGGTGCAAAGAGACCAAATATTTGCAGGTCATCACGATTCTCCTACAAGATGAACTCGATGACTCGAGGCCACCATTGTGTAGCACTCTAACGAGACCAACCGGGGGTTCTAAAATCTTTGGCTGGAAATTGTCCATCTTCCTTAAAGAAAGCATGGCCGAAGGTATTTACTTCAATGGTCATTTCGCCAACAGGTGATTCTCTTTGAACTAGTCTTGGGTTTAAACCAGTGATGTAACGACTGTCACAATTTATTCTGGCGTCACTTTTAGAGAAAACCTCACATGTCACCCTATCCTATGCTGGGGTTAAATCCCAATTCATCTTTTTGGGGACTGAAGCAACTTTAAGTGTGATAAGAGAGCAGTCCCGTACCATGGGAGGTGAGAAAAGATGTCGCCCGTTCATGGTCCTAAGCCACCGATATTTCCTAACATCTAATATATCAGGATCTTCTGTGAGATCTCCGAATAGAAAAACATGCTTTGGGATATGGCTTCGATCGATTGTCTCCAAAGGAACATCCGTGATCAAATGCCTAAGTGTGGCGTTGGAAGGTTTAGAAAGAAAATGAAGTTCTTCCTAACATCAATCTCCAATCATGGGGGGACTTTTAAGTGCTAAATAGTAAGGATGATCTACTCCTATTTGGGTGCTATCTGATCCAACATCACCGCATGGAGGAATCAGAATAGAAGGATGCAAAACTGCAAAAGAAAAATGGGGTCAGTACAGATGATTCAGATAAGTTGAATCTTAGCTAAAGAGTGAGCTACACCTAAGTAATTGCACAAATTTCTCTCAACAGGCGAAAGTCATTCGACTGACGAACCTCGTCCATGAAAATGAACCTCATCAGGTAGACGAGCCTCGCTTGATAAACGGACTTCGTCAGGTCGACGAACCTCATCCATGAAAGTGAACCTCGTCTATCAGACCAGCTTCACCAGACAGATGAGCCTCATTCAATAGATGAAATTCGTCAAACAAACAAATTCCATCAATTAGATGAACTACGTTAGAAAGAAGAAAATTGTCTGATCGACGAACTTCATCTAATCGACGAACAACATCTACTGGATGAGTTTCATCTCAAAAAAGGGAAACTGTCTCAAACCTAAAATGGGTAGAGTTCATTAGTTTTGAAATGCAAGCCCTGTGTTTGGATACACTACCTGAAAAAGCAGGCATAGCGGCAGGTTCGTTCGAAGAACTAGCGGCATTTCTTGCCCTTTCTCTTATCGGTGGTGACTTTCGGGGCCATTGCACTTGATTAAAGGCCTGGGATTTTTGTAGAAAAAAAAAGTTGAAAGCTTAAATGATGAAAAGGTTTCGACGGCTCAATGAGTTTTGAGGAAGAAGAAAAAACTCTTCGGATGGCAATGCCTCATATATATAAAAGCGGGAAAAGTTGAAATGACAGCCAAAATTTACGATCGAGATCAGCGGATGTGACCTTTTGCAAACAAGATTTGCAGACGAGAGCTGTGGAGGAGATCTCGAAGCTCCAACTGGCAATCGCCTATCAGGCCTAGAAAAGGCACATAGCATTTAATGCTGATAAAGCCTAAGTCATCGGACTGACGTGTGCCTGACAAAGTTTATATAGAATGATGAGATTTAACAAATGGTTGAACCTCGTCCTGAAGCATCCAACCTAGTCCACAAACCAAGCTCATCATAGCAGAGAAAATTCAGAGTATTTCAAACCCCATACAACCTAATTTTGGGTCTGAAAACTTTGAAGGGGGTCTTGTAGGCACTAAAAAATGCCAAGTTAAACCTCACTACAAGTATGACAAGGCTCGTCATCATGATGAACCTCGTCTCAGCTAATGAATCTCATACAAGAGATGAAGTTCATCCCTAGACGAACCCCATCAAACAGTACTTCATCTTTCAAAAGACAAACTTCGTCATTAAAGACGAAGTTCATCAAGAAGCTATGATTGCCTGAACATTGAACTTTTCCTGAACATTGAACTCGACAAGCCTGCAAGCTCGCCTGAATGATCAAGCTCGTTTGAATTGTTTAACCAGCCCTTGATGGCCATGAAGTTCAAAACTCGTCATTGGATACGAGGATTGAAGTTTGTCAGACAACGAGGTTCGTCGGTGAAGACGAAGCTCAATCATGAGACTTTCTATGCAGTTGGACTCAGCTGTTGAAGATGAAGTTCGTCAGTGAAGACGAAGCTTGTCAGACGAAGTCAGTGAGGACAAAGTTTATCAGAAGAAGCTCGCTATACGGTGAAGCTAGCCCTACCCAAACGAACCTCACTGCACGTTGAGGCTCATCTAATCTGACGAACCTCACCATACAGCGAGGCTCGTCATCCACGGGAGATCCGACTATAATGGTCCTGAAGACCCAGTTTGCCTATGTGGGCTAAATCCAAGGAGTCAGTTACGCTCCCAATCTCAGCCGACGAACCTTGCCAAACCTGGAGGTTCGTCCCATTTTTGAAACTCCGAATTAAGAGGCTAACAGTTACGAAGACTTAGCCAGCCCACATGGGCTAAATTGTAGGAGGTAGTTACACCTTCTACCCACGATTTCAGCACGTCAATTACGTGCTAAAATTCTATAAATAGCCATGAGCAGCTATGAAGAGGGGACTTTTAGGGTATTTTTGGCTATCGCATGAAGGAGATCATTAAGAGAGAGAAGGACTCATGTTCCTGCAACTGTAGCCATCGTCAGATTGTCAACGAGAAGCAAACTCGACATGAGTATCGAGTGAAGCATTCTCTCGCCACCCAGAACCCACTTTAAAAAAAAAGAGAAGTCAAATTAACCATCTCTTCCTCTGTAATCGAGAGAGTGAGTGATTCTAAAAGGTTCTTACCAAGTGATAGAACCTATTCTTAAAACAAGAATAAATCAACTTTAATTTTTTCGACCCTACAATCACCTCAGACTGAAGAGGAGGAGCAGTACATGTCTTGTTCCTTATGCTAGTGCAGTTGAAAGCATTATGTATGCTATGGTCTACACCGCTCCAGATATTTCACATACAGTCAGTGTTGTGAGTCGGTATACGGATAAGCCTAGAAAGGTCC